CCAAGGGGTAGTGTTCAGCGGGCGGTTACAGCTGTCCACTGCTGTAAGGGGCCTGGAGCATTGTCTCTGCTATCTTAATCCCCAGGCTGTGAGCTTTGCACTCAGCTACCTGGTGTTGTGTGCAGGCTTCCCCGAGCAGGAGTCCTGGACAAAGGAAGTGCCCTACTTCATTTCCAGAGAAGTCCACGCCCGATCTAAATCTACAAGCACTTCATGCTTCTGTGGTGTCCCCTCTCCTTTAAAAATTCCAAAATTCCACATTCTAGTTTCTATTGTCTCTCCACTCACCAATTTCGGAGATTCATGTCCTCTGCCTCTCCAAAACGGTGTGCTCTGTTCACTGCCATCTTGGAATCCCAGTTCATGAGCTTCTGACTAGTATCACCATTAACCACCTGTGTAAGTCTTCTTACACTTAATTTCTCTATACAGTCATCTAGATGCAGCTTTCTAGCAGTGTTCAAATGTAGTAAAATAAGTAGTAAAATAACTTTTATTACCATCAGGAAATATTGATGAGCTGTGATTTAAAAATCTTAGTGCTATAGACTCTAGCCATAGTCATTAAGAGAGCTAGTGTAAGATGTCTCTCATGGCAGCTCAGTCTGCTAGTGAGATCCTTAATAAGGGGAACAGGGGCTGTTTCTGACATGAACTCAGTGGCTGGCTCTTTGATCACCTACCCCTGGGGGGTCAGTCTTACCAGTCCACCAAGGAAGATAATGCACCCAGTCCTGATGAGACCTGATAGGCTAGGGTCAGATGGAAGGGGAGAAGGACCTCCCATATCAGTGGACTTGGGGAAGGGCATAGGGAGAGTAGAGTGAGGGAGGGCAGGATTGGGAGGGGAATGGAAAAAGAAGGAGGAAGGATGTGATTGGGAGAAGAGGGAGAGGTCTACACCTGAGATACAAAGTGAATAAATTGTACTAAATACATGCATACATACATACATACATAAATGGGAAAATGAAAAAAGAAGGCTAGTGTATAAGCAGAATTAATTATACTGCATTAAAACAGTCAGAGATTTTCTTACAGCCTTGCTATTTGCTGCTAGACATTTTTACTTTATCCTGTAAACAGGAAAGCATTGAGTGGTCATGTATTTGCAAAATGGATTCTCAGATAGGTCTTTTGTTCATTTGCTTTCTATAATTAATAGAATCAATTTCATGCTAAAACCCAAAAGTGTTGGGATCTCTTATACATCCTTCTGAGACATATCAAGAATGTTTTACTCTGAAAAGTGAAAATATACTATTCTTCAATATGTCTGTAGATGAAAGTCCAGATAACATAAAACTATAACATCTATCCTGAGGTAAGAGATTTTCCAAAACTCAAAATCTATTTGCTATTACCAAAAACAATAAGATCTCAGGCAACAAAAATGTTAATTATTATTCTTGTCTTAGTACTGGGAAAAGTGATATTAAGGAAGCTTTGAAGATATTCTTTTTTTTTTTGAGTTTTAAAATGTTTTTATTTATGAATTCGTTTATAATTTCTTTTTTTTTGAGTATTTTTTTTATTTTATTTTTCTTTTTAGTTACATTTTGTTAACTCTGTGTCCCAGCTGTATCCCGCTCCCTCATTCCCTCCCCAACCCCACACTCCCTCCCTGGTCTCCTCCCTGCCCCTTTCCAAGTCCCCTGATAGGGGAGGACCTCCTCCCGTTTCATCTGACCCTGTTTTATCAGGTATCTTCAGGGCTGGCTGCAAAGTCCTCCTCTAGAGAATCTACAACGTACTTACCGGGCTTGAATTAGGCTATTTGACTGGAAGCCTGAATTGTGATAATTTTTTAAAATCAGTAAAATTGAATATTTTGACAGGCAAATGCTAATGGCCACTGGGAAATATGAGATAACTCCTGGAAGGTAGGGTGTGGTATAGGTAACTGACAGAAAGAATACCCTAGGGAAAGAACAGCAAGAGAAACAGAAAGGATACTCAATGTAAAATCCTGACAATTACAGGAATGGTTAGGACCTATGGAGATTATTTTATAAAAATTCTATACAAGTTTCTGTAATGGAAGTTTTGCTTTTTTTTAAAAAAAAAAAAACTCAGTTATGTTATGTAAATATGTTTTTGTTTTAATCCCTTTAGCTGGACTTTATTTTGGCCAGAGCTGTTAATTGTCTCTTGAGGGGAGTGTTTTTTGCCAGCTCTTACTGGCCCACACCCTGCCTCCTGAAGCAAGGAGAGGGGTGTGGTCTAGGGCTTTGAGGATATAAATTTGAGAGCCAAGAAAGAGAAGGGGTGGCTTGTGGTGTTGGCTTATGGTGTGTAGCTGTTTGGAGAGCTCAGAAAGACAGACAGTGTGGTGGTTTGAAGCAGACAGAGGGAGTAGAGTCTTGGAGGAGACTGCTGGATGTGTTTGCTGGGGATGAAAACTGATTTATCCCTAAATGCCCCTCCACCCAAAACAGCCAGGAGAAGTAAAGGGTTCTGTATCTCTCTCCCCACTAATCTTCTCTCTCCTACTTAGGGTTGGGGGGTTGGTAGAAAGAAGAGAGAGACATAAATACCTCAAATAAAGTAGAGTTTCAAAAATGAGCACTCTAAGTTTCCTTTGCATATTCAAGTCCTTCTGCACCCCAACGTTTAACGTGGTGTACAGAACATTGCAGTGCTCAGTAAAATAAATATATAAACATCTAGACTGAGCAAAGGGGAAATCCAAACAATGAGAAGCGTCATATTCAAGTTCTAGGAAGTAAAAGGAGAAATTAGATAAGCAGGTTGGTTTGCTAAGTTCTGTTGTGCCAAATTGGTTTGATAACTCGCAAAACCCTCAGTTCTGAAATTTCAGGCTATTTCAGACTGAAAAATCTCAATGGCTGGATATGAATAATTGCTGCCAGCATTGGATATGGACACTTAACTTAATTCTAAGGTAATATAATACAAATGCAATGATTCGTTAATAGTTCAAAACCTTTAATAGAGAGAAAGGGACAGAAACAGAGATAAAAACCTTAGTGACAAGAGATGGAGCAGGTACCAAAATGAAGTAATTTTAGCTGCAAAATTTGAGAGACACAGAAGTGTATGAAATGTGGGAGAGAGAGAGAAGAAATAAGGAGGGAGAGAGGGGGAGAGAGGAAGAAAAGGGCAAGGGGAGAGGGAAAAAGAGAGAGAGAGAGAACTAGAGCATCCAAAGTAAACACTTAAAAAACTAGATAGAAGTTGCTATTGTAACGTAAGATCTTAGCACAGAAATTGGAAGAATGCACGATGAGTTCCAAGGCTCCTGTAAGCAGATACACAGTGACATCATTTTACTGGCTTGACGCATCCGCTGACGCACATACCCGCCTATGTTATTGTCTTCTTGGGAAGGCCTGAGAGACCCACACTGAAGTCTTGCTCTTTGCCCAGACCACATTGACAGAAAGAGATATAAAATGCACCTGTTTAATTGATTTGATGCAGGAAGGTAAAAAAAAAAAAAAAAAAAGACCAGATAGTTTTACCATTTAATAAACAATTTTTATAACTGTTATCAAACACTTGCATTTTTATAAACCTGAGTTTCTCAAGCTAGCATTTATAGGAAATTGCCAAGCATCATTTGTAGATAAAAGCATAATTCAATATTTATGAAATGCTAGTTTTCTATAAATACATACATTTGGAGACTATCTTCTCACTAGTCATTAAAATTTGAACAGGGATCAAAGCTAGAATAATATTAACAATTCCTTGAATTTGTATAGCATTTTACATATTATTAATAATAGATGACATTTATTGAGCACTTAGCAAGTACCAGGTGCATTACATATAAATTGCCGTAAGGAATTCAGTTCAGTCCTAAAGCCTTTGCTTAACACCTACTGTGTGACAGATTACTAATGCTTGGTCTCTGTCTTTTAACAATTTCATTGTTAGTCTCAAAAATGTTGAGTTAATGCATTAATGAGTAGATGAAGGAGGAGATGAAGCAGTTCCAAGGTCTTGTGGGACAGTATGTAAATTACGAGGCCCGCCCTCCCCTTAGCTTTTATGACTTTGAGAAAAATACTTCATTTTCAACCTCTTCATCTGAATTTTGTTGAACTTAAAATATTTCTTATAAAAATGTGAAAATATTAACTGTAAGAGTAAAATGTAGGCTAAGGTCAGGTAGAAGGGGAGGAGGTCCACTACTATCCATGGACTAGGGAAGGGGCACAGGAGGAGAAGAGGAAGGAAGGGTGGGAAGGAGAGGAGATGGAGGGGGCTACAGCCAGGATACAAAGTGAATAAATTGCAATAAATAAATATATAAATAAATGAAAATAAAAAAGAGTAAAATGTTTGCAAAAATGAGGCTGAACGTGTAGTATAGTTATTGTTAGTATCATCATTACAATTAGAAAGCAATAATATCTAAGTCTTCTCCTCAGTTCAGTTATGAGACAAATGAAACTCTGGACATCTATAAAGATAAAGTGTCTACAGCAAAGACCACCAAAACACACAGCACAAAAAAGCAGGAAAGAAGAAAAGAATAGAAATATGCAGAGTGTTCAATCACTTATGTGACACAACATTGTCCTCTATACATATGTTTGGCTGAATTCACAGCTGTTCTTGTGTTTACGTGGCCCACAGATTATGGGATGGACTATAACTATACCTTTCAATGCCTTCCTAGGTTACCAGACATCGTCTATATTTAAAATATACCAAAGGAAGAGTAGGTGGAGTCCAATTTTAAGCATATTTTGAGAGATACATAATAAATTAAAATAAGACAAGAATTTTACCAAACATCATACTATAATTCCTATCATAACCAAATATTGGTTCAACTAAGCATAGAACTAAGTTCCCAAGTCCCTGAGAGGACAGTGCAGAGAGCCCAGGTAATAGCTATCTAGAAAACTCTCTGATTCATATTCCTCAGCTGTACTGAAGCTGTGCCCTGGGTAAGAAAAAGGTAAACCTGAGGAGCGAGTCAAATTTTCTAATCAGAAATGGATTATATCACACGGGCCACTTACCATTTTGGTCTGCTAGTAGATTTCACCATAGGCGCCATCCCATCTCTGTAAAGACTCTTGGTTTTACTGAAGTTAACAATGTTGAAAATGACCCTCTGTAAAAGAAACAGAAATTTATCAGAAGCCTTTTCTATGCAAATCAACACTTTTTGATAATTAAGACCAAAATCATAAGCAAGGTTAAAGGAAGCCACGCAGACTAGCACCCACAGTGCAGCAGTGATCTGGGATTGTGACTTGTTTGTGTCAGGCAAGATTGTTAGCGTACAGATTTTGTGATTTTTGGAATTAATTGCTACAGTTGACTTCCTCTTAATTAGTTTGGAGCCCTAAAACCTGACATTTATTTCCAACAATAATACTTCTGGGTTCTCTGACCTTGTATTATGAGTTGATAATGATTCCCATGTTGTAAATGGTCATAATTGTACCTACCTGGTGGAGTTCTGGTGGGAACTAAAGGAGTTACTTTGTATAGAGTGTTTACACTCTCATTAGACAATGTAGATTGTATATAAACTTTATCTACTAACCTTCCATCTTTTTCTAAAACAACCTAGAATTTGCCTGAAAATTAAAAAAAAATGTATTATGGTAAACTAGAGCTTTAATGTTCAATGAGACTAAAGATACTCAGTACAAAATTACAGCACAGATATTTCCCAGATACTTTGAACCTATTTGGCTAGATTTAGAGACATATGTCCTCCTCTGTGTTGTCCTCTGCTACAGGCCAGGCTGTGGGGCTCAGCCCTAATCTCATCATGCATTGTCTAACCACATGTACTTGATAAAATCCTGTCTGAAAGACATTGTACCCTTACTATAGAGGGTGGGGTGGGATGGAGTGGAGCGCCCAGATCCCTTTGTTTTGATGAATACATGTTTCATAAGGGGACACAAGAAATTGTAAAAGAAAGATGAAATAGATTAAAACACATCCAATACCACTGGAATATTCCATGATACCTGAGGACTAGGGCTAAGGCAACTAGAATAGATGGAGGAAAAAAAAAAAAAAAGGTTCTTAGAGTTTACCATTGTCTAGCTTTTCACTACACTTAGAGTGAAAAAAGATAAAACATAAAACAAGTCATGGAATCTTTTATGCAATAGTTATTTACATGTCAGGTATTACACATATTTTACATAAAATATCTTACATATTCTTCCATAATTATAATGGAAAATAAATCTTTGAGAGGCTACTTAACTTTCTCAAAGTTGTACAACTAGTAGATGATAGAAACTTATATTTGAATACAGGGGATAAAAAAGATAAGACAGCCAAGATTTTTGCCCTTGAGGAGTTTGCTTATTAAGGTTCTAATATAATAAAACCATAATGGATCAGTTTTTAATAAGGGCAAAAATAAAACATGATAGCAAATGTTAAGGTTTCAAAACTTTGTTTTATTAAAAAAAATCAAGATCGTTTCCTCTGTCTTTGTATTTGGAACTATCATAAATGGCTTTATTCCATGAAATAAGTTCTCAGGAATAAGTTTTGTTTCCTTTTCTCTTCAGAGACTCAGCTATTGACCCCAACTCCAGCAGTTTTGGACCTCCATTCTGTCATTACATTAAGTCATCAAGAATGTCCAAGGCTGCTCCATTATTAATAACGCAGACCTGCCGGTTGTCTATTCAATTACTTTTACCAAGGTCTTTGCTACTATCTGACTTAAGAAAATCAATATCAAGGGGACAAATGGCCTTTGAACTTCACAAGGCACAATTCCCTTTGTTCTTTTCAGATTTCAAGTGTCAAATCCATTTCCAGTGAACCTGGGATCAGTATTGCGTAGGCAGGAATTACATCATCAATAATAGGAGAAATTTAATAAAGAAATGATACAGTCACACAAAGCAGCAATAAAAAGCAGAAAGTAACTGAAATATTTATGATTTATTAACATCGTACTATGTGAATAGACATTTTCTCAAGTATTTTAAATATTTTACATTACTTAGATATTACATTCTTAAACAAAATTGCATATTTCTGCTCAGTTTTACACGCTGTGAAAATTAAAACTAATAAGAGCCTTACCCCATGGCAAGGTGGGGACCTTCAAGCTAGTAAATACTGGAAATGGGACTTAATTTGCTGCAGGATTCTCCATGTATTTGCAAGAAAATGCTTCACATCCATTCGTGAAGGCAGAAATTGGTGATAAGAATAAAATAATCACGATGAGAAATCTTATATTTAAAAAAGATCATTAGCTAATGATCTCTTACTATGTATCAATTCCCAAGTTAATCATTTCATTCATATTATTCTGCCTTGTAATTTAGAATCACCTGCAAAACTTGTGAGAACAACAGATCCTTGGCCTCCAATCCCAGAGACACTGACATTTGAAGAATACCTCATTGGTTTTCAGAGTAATGAACTTTGGAAGACAGAAGCTATTTGTTACCTCTCCTTGTTATAGTTTGAATATCAACTGTTCCCCACAGGCGGGTATATTGGGGAATTTCTTTGCTAGCTGGTGGGATTTGCAGAGGAGGTTGTTCCCTAAAAGCTCTGACATAATCAGTGGATGAGACCCTTAATGGATTCTAATATGCTAACATTTTGATAAAGTAAGAACTGGGACCTAGGTGGAGTAAGTGGGACACTATGTGACTTCATAAAAAGATGAAATTTATCCCTGGCTCTCCTACAAGTCCCCTGCAAGGTAGGAAGCAGCCAGTCTTTTTTAATATGGTTTCTCCTGAGTCACTTTAAGCTCAAAGGGACAGAGCCAAGGTCACATAAGACTGAAAACAACAGAACAAACATCAACACCAAGAAATAATCAGTCAAAAATAACTGAATGAGACTACAAAGTACTTTAGATTATAAAACCATGGTAGACTACAAAGTAATTCAATGCTACTCATAATTTAAATAAATGTTTTAGGTATAAGAGAACACCATCATTAACAACAAAATCCCACCCACTGACTTTTAAAAATGCAGCTGGATTTATATAATCTACTCTCAGGTTAAAATGCATAATAGATGTTACTGAAAGAATAATTAATAAGCTATAAACAAGCTAAAGAAACCCAGAATTAAGAACACAGAACAAGATATAAAATATTAACAAGATACAAAGAGGAAAGAAATAAAACTCTAAATGCATCTCATTAAAGGTTGTCTAAAATGAGACATGATAAAGTAGCAGGGGGAAAATAAAAGAGAAAAATGGCTGAATATGTGGTCAGGATTGATAAAAGAAACAAAACTTCAGATTCAGGAATTACAAGACCATCCAAAGCAGGATGTTTGAAAATATAAAGAAAAAAAAATATAAAGACAACAGTTTGAAGGCAAAACAGAGAAAATTCATGAAACCAGAAAACCATTGATTGACTATCACCTCAAAAATTAGGGCAAAATGCATTTTAAGGCAAACTAAACATAAACACTGTAGTTTCTGATCTTGTTTTTTGGCTCTCTGGCCCACATCCTGGCTTCTCCTCCTCCTCCTTTTTCCTGTTTTTGAGGGCTTATTTTTATTTTAAAAAATTGTGGTGTGTGTGTGTGTGTGTGTGTGTGTGTGTGTGTGTGTGTGTGTGTGTATGCATATGAATGCAGGGACCCACAGTGGCCACAAGGGAGTGTCAGATCCCCTAGAGATGGAGTTACAGTGTGTGCAGCCTCACTTCATGGGTTCTGAGGGTCCAACCTGAGTTCCCTAGAAAAGCAGTAAGCGTTCCTAAATGCTAAGGCATCTCTCCAAGTACTCTATTAATAAAACTGTCTCTATTACCACATCCATGTGTTCCTCGCCAAAGCCATTGTTGCGAGGAAAAAGAATTTGGGAATATCAGCTGTTACCCCCAACTCCAATATCTATTCATAACAATCTCTGTCCTTCCTGCCTCCTTCCCTCTCTATCTATCTATCTATCTATCTATCTATCTATCTATCTATCTATCTATCTCTATCTCTCTTTGTGTGTATGTGTGTGTGAGAGAGAAAGAGAAAATTCACCATACTACAGGAAAAAAAATAACAAACCCACAGCACTTAAACTAGTAATTTGCTGAGCAGACATGCAAATATTCAGAAAGTATAGAATATTCAAATCTCATAACTGATACAGTTAATCAAAGATGCTTACAAACACTTTATTTTATCAACAAACACATAAAATGGGAATATGAAAAATTTCAAATAAATAGGAATACATATAAAAATTAGTTATGTATATAATATTCACAAAACCAGTTTTTTCAATTATTCTTACATCAAGTCATAAAAATAATAGTATATTTCAAACTGATACCAAAATGGTCATGCATTTTAAAGTGTTAAGACACTCTCTATAAGTTTCCATATGTCAAAGAACAAATAGTGACAAAAAAAATTGAACATTTTTAGATGGGTAATTCACCATTACATGTGAGAGTTTGTGACATACAGAAAAAGCCATCTGTAGAAAGGTTATAAAGAAACAAAGACACACTGACTATCACAGAATCACAGGAGGGCAAAACAATGGAAGGACCTGGTCCCTTTGAAGACAGAAGTTCTGTCTGGGGTGTGGCCAAAAGCATTATTAAGAGAAATCAAACTTCTAATTCTCCATCTCATACCAAGTCCAAAGCCTACCTTTATAGTCCATGTGGCTGAATTCAGAGGACCAAGTGCTGGGGAAGATGTAGCACAGACAGTCTGGATTTAGAGATGACAGACACATCAGGGAGCAAGTGCCAGGTACTGTTACCAGACCTAAGGTCCAGTCAGGAGATTAGAAGATGCTTCTCTTGGATCACCAATTCCCAAAGGTAAGATATTTCCAAACAGACCCGCAACACTATCCCAATAACATGCCAGGTTGCTAACAGCAAAATACAGAGGGCAGACCAAGCCTTCAGTGAGTGAGGTCCTGAGTAAGTGTGGATTTTGAAATGATCGCGGCCTCGTGAAAACTCTGAGAGCAATTGGCCCATGATTAATTGATAAAGCTATTGCCCACATGGGTCAGGTACAACACAGAAGGCAAAGCTCTCCTTGGGAGTCTGGTATGAATGCTATGAACCATTTGTCAGGGTGTAAAAATACTAGCAGCTACAGCTTCGTCCTCTGCGATGT